TAAACAAAAAGGAAATTAGATGATAACCATAACACATACTTGAGATTCTCATAGAGGATATCTCACATAGTTGATTTGATTTTGAGTCACGTGAGAAAACTCGATTCAGAAATGCACATTAAAAGTTACTTTAACAGTGACACCAAAGTGTTCAGGATATCACCAAATAACTATTAATAGAAAAGCACTTCTATTTCTTAGCTTTTAAAGAAATAATTAGCAAGGATGTTCAAGTGGCTCTGTGGTAGGATATAAAGTCAATTGCTTGTATGTCCAAGAGTTGTACTTGGGTCACATGGAAATGCTATTTCTACTTTTTTTTGAAACCTCTAGATTGATTTCCACAGTGACCAGTTACACTAGCACCTACAATGTTTAAGTGTATTTCTTTATTCACAAACACACCAAAATTTTTGTCATTCATTTTAGTAATAATGGTGAGATCTGTATGCATTGAGATTTACTGTTTAAGTATGCTTAAATTGTATTTTTCTGCAAGCTTAAGATGTTGAGATTCTTTTTAGCTGTTTCCTAGATGTTTTCACTTCTTCTATTGAGAATATTCTATTTAATTTCATACCCTGTTCTTAATTTTTATGCTTTTATTTCTTCTATTGAGAATATTCTATTTAACTTCATACCCTGTTCTTAATTTTTATGCTTTCATTTCTTCTATTGAGAATATTCAATTTAATTTCATACCCTGTTCTTAATTTTTATGTTTAGTTTTTTTTTATTTGCATATTCTAGACTGTAATCATCTCTCCAATGAATGGCTAGAAAAGATTTTCTACTATTCTCTGGGCTGCCTATCCATTTACTTCATAGGTCCATTTGCCATAAGAAGCATTGTAAATTTCATTTGGTCTTATTTGAAGTACCATTGGACAGCTCTTCACAAAGTCCTTATCTGTGGTTGTAAGTTGAAGTGTGATCCATATTTTTTTTTATTTATCAGTTTCAGGTCTTGTGTGTGAGATCTTGAATTCATTTGAACTTATGATGTCCTTGATGAAAGATAACATCTATGTTCAATTTTCTACATTTTAAAAATCCAGTGGTCTCAATTTATTTATTGAAGATGGTGTCTTTTACTCAGTGTCTAATTTGACAACTTTGTCATAACTTAAATAAGTACAATTGTGCTAACTTATATCTGGATTTGAACTCTATTGTACTTTTCTTGTGTCTGCTTTTATGCCAACACCATACTGTTTTTCTGACTATGGTTCTGATACATAAATTTAAATGATGCATAATAATATTTACCTTTTGTTAACAATGATAAAAATTTTATTCTATATCTGCTGTCTTTAGTGCCTTTATATTTAAGTGAGGTTTGTATAGACTTTATAAAGGAGGAAGGCATATACAACGATCTCTCCAGAAACTGTAAAAAAATATACTCAAAAATCTTTTATACAGCCGGGCGGTGGTGGCGCACGCCTTTAATCCCAGCTCTCGGGAGGCAGAGGAAGGCGGATCTCTGTGAGTTCGAGACCAGCCTGGTCTACAGAGCGAGTTCCAGGACAGGCTCCAAAGCCACAGAGAAACCCTGTCTCGAAAAACCAAAAAAAAAAAAATCTTTTATACATAAAGACTTGCTATAGCTATGGTGGTAAATAGCATCACTGTAGGGGAATGTGTCAATTGAGTAGAAACTACATATTGCAGATGGGATGGGTCGGGAAGGAGACGGAGCAGAACTGATAAAAACACATGAGGAAACAAAAACAATGATGTGATTTGAAAAGGCAGTTAAAAGGCAAATTGAGGAAAACATTTCTGATATTACAAATTTCAGAAAGCTGTGGTTTAAAAGTTAGTTCTACAAGAGACGTATTGCTGAAGTGAAGAAAATATTGTTTCTTTAGGAAAATAATTTCAATAGAGTGGGAGTTCTAAGTTCACACTGAAATGAGTTCAGAAGAAAGTCGGTTATATACTAGTGTTTCTCAGAATATGTTTCTAGTTCTATTCATTTGCATGCAAATTTCAAGATGTTATTGTTTTTTACTGCTGAGTTGTACTCCATTTTGTAAATGTGCTACATTTTCTTTTATCCATGTTCAGCTTAGGGGCACCTTGCCTGTTTCCAGATTATGGCTATTACAAATAATGTTGCTGTGGACAAAACTGAGCATATGTCCTTGTGGTATGTGTGTGCATCTTTTGGGTATATGTCCAAGAGTGATATTTCTTGGTCTTGAGATAGATTGATTCCCCATTTTCTGAGAAAGCCCCATACTGATTTCCAAAGTGGCCATATGAGTCTGCAAAACCCACAGTGGAGGAGTTTTTCTCTTACTCTGTATTCATAGAGAAAAGAACAGGATGCATTTTGCATGAGTCTATTGTTAGCCAGCCAGAGTAAATCACTTGATTCTTTGATTTATCAACATCTCTATGAGGATAATGAAAAAGACATTAGTCATAGCCCATTAGCTACCAAAGACAGAAGTCTATATACTAATAACTTTAAAATATGTATAACTCATTTAAAAACTGTAGTTCAGTTTTAGCTTAATCTTTATCAGTGACATTTGAAATGATCAATAACTAATTTGATCAATATATCAATAAAGCAACAATTGAATTTTACTAGTGTATCCCATGGATATTACTTCATTGACTTTAATCTTTATCCAAATAATATCTTTAATATGGACTTAATATACAATAAAACCTACTGATATGTAGAATGTAGTCAGAAGAGAATTCTGGAAGAATCATAAAGATCAGAGTATCCAAATGGAAATCTGTAGTAATTATTTGGCAAGAAGAAATCAGTGCTTAGACATGATGGAATGTATCTAAGAAGATTTGAGTCTGGATAGCATGTGTATTAGTCAGGGATCATGAAAGGAATAGAACTGATAATTTTAATATATATATATATATATACACACACATATATATATATATGGTGATACATATTTTATATCCAATATCTGTATGTTATATATTGATATATCTATATATATTTAATAAATCACTCATCCACACACACATAAGTGTGTGTGTGTGTATGTGTGTGTGTATATGTATGTGTGTGTGTGTTTATGGAACTGGCTTACAGGATGTAGTTCCAGGTTTCCAGCACTGACTCACAACTGAAAATTAAGTATCTGGTAGCTATTCAGTAGCTGTTCAATACAAGAGAGTTATTTCATAAAATCTTCTTGTTTTCAGTCTACATTGGAACTGTGAGGAAATTAATTGTATTCATATTGTGCTTAGCAACAGGATACACAAACTGCCGAACAAGAGTGTTGACAGGCAGACGAAGATTAAAGTATTCTTCTCATATGGCATTTTATGTGGACTGTCATTAAAGATGTGGCCTTGATCTAGGGTGAGTCTTCTTTCTTCCTAAAATCTGACTGAGAAAATCTCTTAAAACTGCACCTAACAGCTTAGATTTAGTTGATTACAGATGCAGTCAAATTGAGAACACAACATTAATTTCAAAGCAGGTTTCCTGTATGTCACATCTAAGAACAGAGCAAGTTGCTGGTAAAATCAAGCCTAGAATGCAGGACTTAGTTTGTGGAATTTGAGCTAACTACATATACACAATACGGAGCATCTATAGCTCCACATAGCTGCTCCATACATGAGCACAGGAAGCACTGTATTGTGTTGCTGCAGAAGACAGAGGATTAAAAGCCAGTGTGACAACTTGAATCCTGCTAAATCTTTTTTTACAGTGTCTTCCTTTTTATTAATTAAATGAGTTATGTATCAGTTTCACAAATTTTTCACTAATACATTCTGGTTACTCTGATCCTTGTCTTCTATAAAGTTCTTCCCAGTACAGTTAACTCTCCTTCTTTCTCCTCGTCTATCCCTGTTTAATGCTCATGCTTTTTTGTTTTGGCAGGGCTGTCTTTTGGTAATGAACTTTTCTATGAAGAACAGTGGGTTCATCTCTAATGAGCTTCTGATGATTTTTGTATAACTCAAATATTTTCATTCACCTGAACTTTTTCAATCCATAGTGTTGTAGCAAACACTATTAATTTCATAATGCAGAAGATAAAGAGAGGAGAACTGAGACTTCAAGGTCAGGCAGAGCTACAGTATGAGCTCTTATTTATACATTATATTTCAGGTGTACTTCCCTCTGCATCGAGTGAACTCATTAGTAGCTGAAAATATAGCAAGAATTTTGTCAAATATTCATACACTGTGTAAAAATATATTGCTGCAGTTGGTGTAATAAAAAGTTGAACGACCAATAGCTAGGCAACCAGAATTTCCAGGCAAAGAAAAAACTCTAGGAAGAAGGTGGAGTCACCAGGAAGAAGTGTAGGAAGCTGTTTGAGCAATACGGACAGATGAGGTCACCTGCAATGTGACACTTTATAGATTAAAAAAAAATGGGTTAAGTTATAAATGCTAGTGAGTCAAATATAGGCTAAGATAAAGCTTTCATAATTAATACTAAGTCTCCATGTCATTATTTGAAGGTGAATGTTACAGAGGAAGTCTTATTACCCAGGCAATCATACCATTCTGGGATAGCATCTAGCATAGCTTTTAAGACTAACACCACACTCTCCAATTTTTCTCATTGCTGTTCTCTGTACTCTCCCATCCTTTGTCACCAAGCTTTGTGATTTTCCTAGTTTCATTAGTACATATTAATTGCAATTAACTAATGAGCTTCAGTATTACATTTTAAACATGGATTCAATATGTTTAAATCCTTGATTTCATGTAATTCTCCCCACTCCCACTGTTCCACTTCCTTTGCCTCCAAGCCCTTATTCTATTTTTGTGTATTTCCCACATTGTTTGGTTTTGATTTTGACTATCATTTCTTTTTGCTTGTCAAGCCCTCCAGGGTCATGTGGTACTAACAAGTTGATAGTACTATAGATTTGCTTCTCGAATTTGTACATTACTTTTGATACACTGAAGATGTTATTGCCCAAATGTGGTTTTATCGTGCTGGTTTGCTTCAACCAGAAACATCTTCCTCCTTATTAGGCAAAATGGAATTCAAAATTATAGACTTTGTTGTAGCAGCATTCAAAGTGGTGAGCAGTTCTTCCAGGTCCATCAAGGGTCTGGGCCAGTTCTTCTATGCCTACACCACTGGGGCCATTTCTCTCATGGCCACTGGTGGTAATGCTGGTCATGGATATCAACACAGACCCAGCTATGGTAGGACCACAGACACACAGACAAGACCTCTGGCTACAGGTTATAACTTGGGCCCACAATGCTTGAGAGCTACCATGATCCTTGCCTGAATGGGGTGGTCCTCGTGGAAACCAAGACTGACCAACTCAACTCCCATTCAGGCCCAATTTCAGGGCTTTGCGTTGGCCCTGGATCAACAACTATACCATCTATGACCCTCTGGAGTGGATTAAGTCACTAGTCATGCAGAACCATAGCAGCAGACTCTCCATGACTCTAGACAACAGAATGATATCTGACAGACCATCTATTGGAATGACTAACACTGTTTTCTGAATACATATGAACAATAAAGATATTTGAGATGAAATCACAAGACACAAAGAAATCCCATATTTATATAAAATAATTTGTTTGTCTTTCTCAACACAGTATTTTCTAGTGTTTCATTGTTTAGAGCTATAGATTTTTTTTTGGCAATTTCGTTCTGTGCTTCAGACTTGAGGAATGCTCGTTATGTGTTTGTTGCTTTGACATGGGATTTCATAGCCAATAGCATTGTCTAAGCAATATCCCCCTGGCTTCATATTCCTGAGTGCTAAGATTATAGCTGCGTACTACCTAACTGTTTGCTCTAGGCATGAGGCTCATTGTTTTCCTCTTCACAAATTCTTTATAGTTATTAATCAAATGAATTTAACTATTTATTCTACTAATCTACATTTGGTACTTTATTACATTTTCTACATTAGTTTCACTCGAGAACGTATTCTATTTTATTTGAGATCTTGGCTCACTTTCTATGGTTGAAGCTGTCATCAGAACTTGTCTACCTAGTGCTGCAACTTAGATTGAACACTTACTATGGGAAAACCATCTGATAATACAAATGCTTGAATTCTATTTCAAATAACTGTAACAATAACTCTTTAATATTGTTGAAATTTGCTGGAATCATATTAGCAAGAATGACAATTTATAATGAAGTCTAATTCATACAACATCATTCTTAACTACTATGTGACATTTTCTCCATGACGACATGGTCAATTTACTTGTATAAGTGTACAAGATATATGTAATAATAATAATAATAATAATAGTAATAATAATAATAATAAACTCTGAGAAATCACAGTAGGATAAACAATAGATATATGCTGATTTGTTGACAAATGTTTTCTTTTAGGTATTCAGCATCCTTCTTGAGAAGATACTATTTGTATAATTAAAATACTATCTAATTCACTAGGAAATTTTTGTTCAGTGTATGAGTTGGGAAAAAGACATTGGAACATATTATTCAATTGGAAATAGTTTGGCTATTTTTATGTAACAAAAAGATAAATTGAATTATGATGGCCTTAAAATATCAAATAATAGTAAAATTAGCCTTAAGAAATTGAATAAGGAAGTCATAGGGAACAACGTGGAAGAGAGACAACATAAGAAATTTAGATAATGCTCACAACTGACTTAGTCACATTTTTTTTCTTATTGATTCAATACAACAGAGGTTAGGTTTAGGTATAACTATGCTTCCTTTAAAAAGATAGTGGTACACAGAGGGAATTCATCAAAGAAGCAAGCCTACACATGAAGCAGAGTAATAGCTGAAGGAAAGCTGAGCTCAATTTAGCTTTCAATGATTCCTTACTGTGAATTTTTATGTAAATATTTAGTGCTGCTACAAGAAGAATGTATTCAGATGGGATTCTTTGAATCAAACTCCTAAACCTACTACTGTTGGTTAAGTAGAACATTGGGGCTAGTTATTGCTCAATATAACTCTTATCAATATTTTCATTATCTCACAAATCCTCTTTACTCAAAGAGAGTTTTATAAACTTAGGCAGGTTATCCCATCATTTAAGAAAAGCATTACTTTTGTGTGTGATTTTCTTTTTGGTTTTAAATCACTTTGATAGAATCTAACCAATGTATAAGACACTGTCTATTATATGTGTATCACTTAGTAATTTGCTTTTTCCTATTTTTAATGTTTTATGCACACATGCTTAATTTTCATAAACATACAACCCTTTTCAAATTAGAATACATTCTTTCATGAACTAATATTTCATTTTATGGCTTTTGTTATCAATGTTTTCTTTTTTAAGTTTAATTTGAATACTTGATGCACGTTAAGTAAAGTCTTCAAAAGAAACTCAGGTTTCTAAACCATTATTTAAGATAATTACATATGCTTCTTTAAAATTCTTTTACCTTAAACAATGCATTTAATCTACATAACCTAAATAAACTAAATAACCTATGACTGTTTATTTCAATTGGCAAAATTATACTTTTGAAAGAATATTTTATGCACAAAAGACCACCTTAAGTTATTGAATGTAGCAAAGACATTCATTCATTGTCACTCAATTTGACTTTCTCTGGAGACAATAGCCGTGGACCATAGAATAATGACCACATTCAGTCGTAGAAGTTGCCTCAATAGAATTTTTACATTACATGCAGCAACTTAGCAGCTATCAGCACAACATATTTGGTTAGGGTAAATATTATGTTCTTACTTTCTTGTAATCTGATATTTTTATTATTTCAGTATTTACACCATATAGAATAACTGAAATGTTTCCACTATTTTAAGTATTTGCTGAATGTAAAGTTGTTGGCAAATATAAATATTACTGTTATTTCAGAGAGTCTTATTAACAGATGCAAATACCTCAGAGAAAGTTAAAATTGGATCAAGAGGGTACATCTGCTCCATAACAACTCACTCTTGTTCACCTGCTGTTGTCCTTAATTGGAGCTTTAAGGGTACACTACTTCTGAGATTATATTTCTGTCTACTGCTGTCATTCTGTCCCAGTTCCACATTAGGTTTGAGTGATATAGCCTTTGACAGTTTTCTGTCAGTCTGACATGCTGATAGCGATGGCTCCTCTTCAAACTGATTAAAGATTTATTATTTTCACTAAACCAAAGATTTCTTTTCTGTTTCAGTCAGCTCTATCCCTGGGGTATCCAAGGATAATATGATTGTAATTTTTCTCAGAGTTCATCCTTTCCATTCTCATGCCTGAGGGAGGAACTCTCACTGCTGTTCTTTATGAAGGAAAGTTTCATTTAACATATCCTGAAAGTCTCCAAAGGTCTTTCAAAACTTTACAATGCATGGTATAGATTTTGTAGTACTCTAGACATGAAACGTATTCTGTTTTACGATGGAAGCACATACATAGGTGGCATGAATTTTCAAATACTTGATTTTTTAAGATCATTTAAGACATCAAGGAAATAGTTGCGAAAATATGGTATCAGTCACAAACTCATGGTTTTGTTTCCTTATATTCCAGAATTTGCATATATGAATTTGGTACTATTAATTTTGTTGTTGTCATAATAGCTATCATTTATTGGCTTTATTAGTTATTTATCTTCTGTTTATGAAATGAAGACAAGTGACAATATTATCATTGATTCCTTCCCAGAACTCTGGAGGATTTATCCTTTCTTTATAACCAACTTTCGATGTGTTCTGGAGAATTAGGAAAAGGCATGAGGTCATATAATAATGATAAACTATCTTTTTTGAAGCTCATTATTTCTAAATTAATTTTATCCTTAATATTTAATGATTTTATATATTTCAAGTAGAAGAAAAATCTCATTTATCTAGAGCTTCTCATAGTGTAGATATTTTAATTGCTTTATAAATGACTGTGATAGCTTAATGATCTTGAAAGCAAAACCGAATCATTTTAAAGCTTAGCACTTCATGCCATTTCACTTCTCAAAGAAGTTAGTACAGCTTTGGGAATAAGGCCATTTCTTTCACTTATTACCACTTGCTGTATGTTTGTATTGATTCTAGTTGCAAAGATAATCTTGCAGTTTCTAGTGGTATTTGTCTCTGTCTCTGACACATGGAAATGCTGTATTTATGGCCATGTGTGTTTAAATACACACAGAGTGAGACTGTATCTGGATAACTCCTAAAAGTTTATGTTTTATTAGATGGTTATTGATAAGGACAAACCTTTCTAGAGTTGCTTGCTGTTTGTTGTTTCAATTGGAGAAAATTACATTTTATTGGACTTTAGTTGTGGGAGGCAGTGAAAGTGAAGGAAAAAGTGAGGAGGTCATAGTAACATACCCAATTAAGTACTGCACGAAAAATATATGCAGTGAGTACTTTCAAATCACATTAGGCTCTGCTGATTCAATAAGGTATTCACTCAGTCTATCCCACTAATACATTGCATGTTAAAGTATTGTAGCTCTCAAACTTATCAAATAATCATGCTAATTTTCCACAGAAATTATCACTGTAATGACAATCTATTTTTAACTCGAGAGAAATATTAAGGGTGTAACATACTCACACATAATCGTAAAATACACTGTTTGAATGAAATGCTATTTATATTTATATCTATCTAATAAGTAAAATTAGTCTTGAGGGTTTGAATGAGAATGAATCCTGTAGGTCCAAATATTTGCATTATTGGTTCCCTAGTTGGTGGAAATATTTCAGAAGGATTAGTAGGTGTGGCATTATTGAAGGACGTGTGTAAATGAGGGTGGATTATGATGTTTCAAAAGACTTCTGTTTTTCCAATCTGTCTGTCCCTATGTGTCTGTATCTGTCTGTCTCTGTGTTTCTCATTCTTTGTTCTCCTTGCTATTTCTTTTTTTAAAACTTTTTAAAATTGATTTTTCTTGAGCTGTACATTTTTCTCTGCTTCCAACCCTTCCTCTCCCCTCTCCTCCTACCCTCTCCCATGGTCCCCATGCTCCCAATTTACTCAGGAGATCTTGTCTTTTTCTACTTCCCATGTAGATTCGATCCATGTATGTCTATCTTATGGTCCTTATTGTTTTCTAGGTTCTCTGAGATTGTGATTTATAGGCTGTTTTTCTTTGCTTTATGTCTAAAAGTCACTTTTGAGTAAGTACATATGATGTTTGTCTTTGGGGGTCACTCAATATAATGTTCTCTAGTTCCATTCATTTGCCTGCAAACCTCAAGATGTCATTATTATTATTATTATTTTGCTGTGCAGTGTCTATTGTTTAAATGTACCAAGAAATTGGTCATCAAAAGAACAAATAATCCAGTAAAAACATGGAATAGAGACATAAACAGAGAACTCTCAACAGAGGCATTTAAAATGGCTGAAAGACACTTAAGATAATGTTCAACATCCTTAGTCATCAGAAAAATGCAAATCCAAACAAGTCTGAGATTTCCTCTTACGCCTGTAAGAATGGCCGAGAACAAAACACTGGAGAGGATGTGGGGTAAAAAGAATAATGTTGCATTGCTGGTGGGAGTATAAACTGGTACAGACCCTTTGAAAGTCAGTATGACAATTTCTCAGAAAATTAGGAGACAACCTTCCTCAAGACCCAGAAATACCACTTTTGGGTATATACCCAAAGGATGCTCAATTATACTACAAGGACATGTGCTCAACTATGTTCATAGCAGCATTGTTTGTCATAACAAGAATCTGGAAACAACCTAAATGCCCCTCAACCAAAGAATGGGTAAGGAAAATGTGGTACATTTCCACAATAAAATTCTCCTTGACTTTCATTCCATCTGTTTCTGTGTCGCTGTCTGTCTCACTCTCATTTCTCTCTTTCTCTCACTGTCTGCCTATTATTTACAGACCACTATTTAATATCTTTGTTGCTCCACCATGCCTTTGTTCTGTCATCATGACTTTCAATTCTCTGAAACTATAAGCCCAAATTACGGACTTTAGCTTATACTTTGCCTTAATCATGTTTGATTTACCAATAGAAAAGTGATTAAGACAACATTTGTTTACACAACAATTAAAAATTCAGCTACACAGTGTAGGTCCTATCTGTAATCCCTGTTCTTCAAAAGCAGAGCAGAAAAATAATTGCAGATTTGAGAAGGGCTGGTTCAAATCAGTATTATAGGCATAGTCATGATCACAGAGTAGGGCATTGTCTCAGTAAGAAAAAAAAGAGAAAGAAAAGAAAGAAAGGCAGAAATACAGGCAAAAAGAAGAGAGGGAGGGAGGAAGGGCAGGAAGGAGTGAGGGAGGAAGGAATGAAGATTCGTTAATGAATTTATTAATTAATAAAATTTATTAATAAAATAATCAGAATTTGATTTGAGGAGAAGAATTTATTATTTTGTAAATATCTATAATTTCAAGCTTCTATAAGACAGTAGGTCTTTATATTAGTTATATATTAGAAACAGCAATTATATGAAATTTGCCATGATATTACAACTTAACAAATTAGAAAACTTTTGCATGAAGAACCTCATTTGGAGAGAGTCTAATGATATGTACAACCTTATAGTTCAAAAATTCAGAATAAAGTAAGGTTTGTTACCATATTTGTTAAATCCTAGAATATGCCCCATTTTTACTGAGATGGTACCTTCACCTTAGCACAGAAATTCTGCTTTCATATTTGGAATCAAAAATGAAACTCATGAAAACATTTGGTACCTGAGTCTTATATTTCATCTCAACATATGTTCTTACCATACATCTAGATAATGTTTAATATATAAGATTAATATATAGTTAATAATATATTAATAATATATAATGATTCGTATTTATACAGAAACCAGGGACCTACTGTTTTCTTTATTCAGTATTAAAGTAATGATGTTACACACTCTGTATTGATGCTATCTAAAAATAAAGAACACGTTCACACGTGTACTTCCACATATAATGCATATCTTGAAGTATATTGCGAGATAATATTAAAATATTCATTTATTGACATAAGTATCATTACAAATTCTTCATACATAAAAGTGAATCAAGTTAACAATAAAATAAATTTTAATCATTCCATTAGCATAATTTTCTGGGCCACTTAGAGCATTATTTTGTTTTATATTTACAGCTAAAATTTTATTAATTAAATTTTAGTGTGAACAAATATACTATTAAATGTACATAAATTATGTTAAATTTTATCCAAACTATCAAAATAAAGAGAAGTGTTTATTGAGTTCTAACTCTGATTAAATAATATTTAAATGTGAAATAAGCCCTTATATTGGCAAAGAGTAATGCACCCACATGTCAACTTGACAGATCAAGGAGCCTCTGGTGTGTATTCATTCACTTGTATAAATCACATACTCACTTCTGATTTCAACATGACTCAGGAAGTTTGTTATCTCAGTGATTTCACCATTGTTTCTTAGAATGTCAGTTGATGGTTTCATGGTCCTTTATCTACTACAGTTTACCTTGGTTTCTATCACCTTATTTTGTTCTAAATAAAAATAAAATTACAAAAAAAATTCCTCCCTGTAACAGGAAAATAAACTATGCTTTCAAAATGCTGATAGACATTTTGTGTGACATATTTTACATGATAGGGAAATATTTTATACTTTTGCTATCTTGAAATTTGTTCATATTTTTGTCAATGAATAATGCACGTTTGTGGGGGTCAAGTAAGGACCCAATATAGGCATATTTGAAGCTATGTTAGAAGAAATATTTTTCCCATATATGTCATAATGGATAATTATTAGCACTCCAAGTAAAACAAGGAAATATCATTTCATACTACATTTACTTACAAAACATAAACATTTTCCTTTATTTAAAATTCTGATTTTATTTATATTAACAAATGATTTCTACATGCACATATGAAATACTCTGCAAGCATTCTGTATTTATTCCTGATTATAAGTATGCATAAGATAATTGAGGCAGCCAAACCAACTTAACTAAGGAAATAGTGAGTCCTATGTGAGCCATTACTTGTTACATTCTCACTACTATAAAAAAGCAGCATCTCACAATGCAGTCTTAAGAAAAATTGACTTTGGTTACCAGAGTGCAGATTCAGTTTGTCACTTCTGAGATGAGGCCTTGGTTGGAGTATGAGGCTTCTGTTCCTCTTGTCTGCAGACAAGCAGGAAGAAATGAAGGTTTGTGTTACACTCGAACACTCCATTTTGTTTCTTGGATGGTGTCAACAACATTCACAACTCAACTTGACATAGGATAGGACATGGCACATTTCTGTCAGACGTGGAGTTGTTGCCTGTGAGGATCCATCCCTTCCTGGCTTGATGATGATAATTGATGGTGGACAGCAGAACTTCCACCGTTTTTGCATGACTTTCTGAATCTGGCAAGCAAAGGTAAGGATGTTCATTGTAAAACGCAAGACTTTGGAATAGCAGCTGGAATGAGATTTTTGGTCTAGCAGGCCCAGAACATTTTAATGTGCTTATTTAAACTTTATGTCAAGTTATACTGAGTGAAAAAAAAAAACTGCTAAAACATAGAGATGCTATCGTAGAAGACCCTAAGTGGTAGCAATACAATATGCTTGAAACAAATCAATTACATTACAAATATACTCTTGAACAAGGAAGGAGTTTGAATAGAATATATTTTCAGTTAAAAAATGGAAATAGGCCCCTTCCCGATGCTGAGACCCGGGGCCTGACTGTAGGCCCCAGACCTGGTCCACCCTGCAGCTGCGCGCCCGCCGGCTGCTGGGAGCGAGTCTCACAACATTTTGCTGGTACAGCCTACCAAGAGGCCAGAAGGCAGGACTTATGCCGACTATGAGTCTGTGAATGAGTGCATGGAAGGTGTTGGTAAGATGTATGAAGAACATCTGAAAAGAATGAATCCCAACAGCCGCTCCATCACATACAATATCAGTCAGTTGTTTGATTTTATTGATGATATGGCAGATCTCAGCTGTCTTCTTTACCGAGCTGATACACAGATATATCAGCCTTCTAAGAAAGACTGGATCAAAGAGAAGATCTACGTGCTCCTTCGTCGACAGGCCCAACAAGCTGGGAAGTACTTGAGTTGGAAGCATTAAGGGCTGGAGGTGGGCTTTGGAACAGGTGCATACAGCGTGCTGTAGTGAACATTTTGTGTGATATCAATCCTGTTTCCATTTTGTTACGCTAGAACCAAGATTGAATGTATGACATGGAACATGAACAATATTTTCATTCTAAAACCCACCATTATTGCCCCTTTACTCTTTTTATTTGTTTTTTCACTTAAACATTTTTATGATAATCCGGAGAGAAAGTGTTCTTTGCCATTTAAGGTTGGTTCCAGACCTTGAAACTGTTGGTGTCCGCTTTACAACAGCGAGTGCACTAACCCATTGGGGGGGGGGGGGGGCAGTGACAAGCTTAGTTATGTCCTCTGGGAAAGTCTTAGTGAAAATAAAGAAATGTTCTGTAAAAAATAAAAAATGGAAATAGAACAAATGGAGAATTTTCCAACATAGAAACAAATTAATAAAATTCACTGTAAATTTAATAGTAGACAGGTTATACAGCAATTATTTACACAAATATGTAATAAATTAACTATAAAAATTGTTTTAAAATAATGAAATAAAAGATATTTAATCTGGAAAATATTAATAGAAAAAACAAAGCCTATTTATTTTTCATGTTTGAACAATGCTAAAATTTGAACCCTCAACCTTGTTAATGTTTGGCAAAGATTGTACCATTGAGTTACATCCTAGGAGTGAGTTTTGAGTGTTCAAAATATAAAGGATATTTCTTCTGAAGAAATAGATATAGCATTCAATGATATTATGGAGTGGGGCAAATTGTTACTATAACTACATTAATACTGTCAATTAGGTGTCCAATATAAATGAAATGATATCAATAAAATCCATATAATTTAGAGAATTCAAAAAGATTAAAAATTTTAATTTTTGAAAGAAAAATGTTTTTTTTTTAAATTCTACAATATTTTATAGCAAAAATAAATAAAATGGAGTGTGAAGTGGCTATTTCAAAAGAGAGATTGTGGCCAGCATGATGGATTAGTGGGTAAAGGCACTTACTGCCAAAAGTGACAACCTGTGTTTGATCCCTGGGGCTCACAAAGTAAAAAGCCTGCCCAAGCAAATTGTCCATTGATCTAGAAATGCCGTTCATATCATATTTACAGTTATAAAATAAACAAATAGATATTTTAAGTAAAAAATAACTAATAATATACCAAAATCTTGCCATGCACTTTTAAGAAAAGAAACATGCTCCATACATTGTCAGTTTGTGTAACATACAAAACAGAAAATGAATTTTAGCACTATCCATCTGTTATATGATTACCAACATCCAATTGCCTTTATTTGCTCATCTACACAATAACAATAATGATACACCTTGAAGACACATTAGTAGGATCAGTGATGTTACACTGAAAGCACAGAGTCTTCTTGGGAACTGCAATTAGTAGCTATAGAAAGAACATTGTGTTCATTCAAAAATAATCATGTTTCAGCATTGAAGCAATGATTTATCTAAACACTGCTCACTTTGTGCTTATGTGCCTTAATGAAGGCCTAATTTAATCTAGTTGGATATTAAAAACATCTAATATTGTTCCGAGGAAATGATTAGCTTGGATAGAAATGTGAGCCCTGAGGGTTTGGCAGTTCATCACATAGAAAATTATTTATTGCCTTGCTAAAGTAAAACAAAACAGAATCTTGCTACTGATGTTAGGAGATTCTATGATAACAAAGTTGCTGCTTTGCTGTTCATGCTGCTTTGTCTGAAGCGTCAATGGTAACAGGATTTTTTTGATCTGTTAGAGATGATGGATGTCACAGGTTAGAAAGGATTTTTAAGTGTAAATAGTGATAAATGTTGTGTTTTGCTCTTTGCCCCTGGTTTTCCCCCTGGAATAAACATTTTTATACAGTCTTTAAACACCTGTGGGGAAAAAGAAGAATAGTAGGCAGTGGAGTATTCCTGGATCAATCAACCTCAATCTTTTATTTAATATCTTTTTGTTTTCAAAACAAGGTTTTATAATCCTACAGTAAGAATAGAGTGAGAGTAGCAATTAAATCCTTTAAGTAGAATTTCATTTGGAACTCTGGGATTTGTTGTTAAATCGGAACATTCCGTTAATTTCTCAAAACACAAACACACACACATGTATCCACACACCCACTCATGTTTGCATGAATATTATGTATATCTGTGTATATGATGTGTATGCAGGTGTGTCTACACATGTTTATGAATGTGTCATATATATGTATATTATATATTCTATGTAGCATACATAAATGTATATGTATGTGAATATGTACATCATGTATATCGTATGTATGTGTATACATATGTATACACGTATGTTTATATAACTGTGTTTACTACTTCAATATAGACCTGGATTATATGAGGCACATACATTTAAACCATTGATGTCCATATCAAATAGAACATGACCTTTATTTCTTAAAAATGTATCATATGTCTTCATTTTACTGGTTGTACTTGGTAAATAAGGAAAAATATGAAACAAAATGTATTTGTATCAGGTAAAATTTGCTATTTTTATTTAGAAAACACTTCTCAGTACTAATTATTGTCAGGATGGCTTCTATATATGAGGATGAGTTTAACTCATGGAACTGAGAGTACAGCACAGAACTCTGCAAGGGCTCTGCACTTGACTTAACGATACTGAGCTAAAAACTCATTTGAAGATGTTTCTGCCTAATTGAAAATTCACTTTCTCCTCTATATATCCTCGTCTCATCCCATGCCACTTACTTCAAAATGGTAGCTGAGATGCATGGATTGAAAACCAAGTTAACTGAACTTATCCAAATAGACACACACACACACACACACACACACACACACACATTTATAATCATATAAATGTGTGTGCGTGTTTAAAGTAAGATTTAGAGAGAGGGAATATGGCGGGTAACCAAGATGCTGTATTATTAAGATATAAAAACCTCGGGGATGTCCCCAGCTAGGTCCTTCGGCAGCAGAGGAGAGGGTGCCTGAACTGGCTTTGCCCCACTATCACACTGATGATTATATCTAATATCACCATAGAATCTTCGTCCTGCGACGGATGGAGATAGAGACAGAGACCCTCATCAGAGCAACGGACTGAGCTCCCACGGTCCAGTTGAAGACTAGAAGAAAGGAGAAGATGAGTAAGGAAGTCAGGACCACTAGGGGTTGGTCCACCCACTGAGACAGTGTGCCTGTTCTAATGGGAGCTCACCAAATCCAGCTGGACCGGTATTGAACGAGCATGTGATCAAACCAGACTCTCTGAATGTGCTTGCCAATGGGAACAGACTGAGAAACCATCTATAATGGCACGGGGGCCTATTTCTACTGCATTACCTTCGTCCCATGATGGATGGAGATAGAGACAGAGACCCACATTGGAACACTGGACTGAGCCCCCAAGGTCCAGTAGAAAAGCAGTAAGAGGGAGAAGATGAGCAAGGAAGTCAGAACCGCGAGAGGTTCTTTCACCCACTGAGACAGGGTGACTGATCTAATGGGAGCTCGCCAAGGCCAGCTGGACTGGGACTGAACGAGCAAGTGATCAAACCGGACTCTCTGAATGTGGCTGACAATGGGGGCTGACTGAGAAGCCAATGAGAATGGCAGTGGAATTTGATTCTACTGCATGTACTGGCTTTTTGGGATCCTAGTCTGTTTAGATGCACACCTTCCTAGGCCTGGATGGAGAGGGGAAGACCTTGAACTTCCCACAGGGCAGGGCACCATGCCCTCTCAAAGGATTGGAGGGGGAGGGGGAGGAGGGAGTGGGAGGGAAATGGTAGGAAGTGGAAATTTTGAATGGTATTATTTATAAAGCAAAACATATAAAAAAGAAACAAAAATCAGATTCTGTTTTATAAAGAGAGGACTCATTCCATAGAGTATATATTCTAAACCTCTGCTGAAAATAACTTCTGCCCTAAGCATGTAAACTGCCATATGATGTTTAAAAGGAAGAAAGAAGTAGAACAATTAAAAGATCCCTCTCATTTCTTCATTGTACTCAAAGTCTAGATGGAAGGCGTTGGTTACTGGAACATGTCGAGAACTTCTGCTCTCTCTTTCTTCTCTCGCTCTCTCTCCAGCTCTCCCTCTCTCTCTCTCTCTCTCTCTCTCTCTCTCTCTCTCTATATATATATATATATATATATATATATGGATGTAATGTGTCAGAAGAGTACATCAGTTATTCACATCTATAACTCTCTGTATATTGATTTGAGGTAGTCTTTAGCTGAATCAGAACTTCAGTTTTGGGACTGGGCTCTAGGTTGTGAAGGTCCAGTCACCCTTCTGTTCCCATGTCCTTCAGTGTTGATGTTACAGGTATGCGTGGAACCATTCTCTCATCTGTGAATAGGAAAAGGAACTGCCTTTCCTACCAATAAGTCTTTCCAGTAACACCACAGATTTCAATTTCAAACAATGAAAATACATAATTAGAGAGCCTGAAAATTAAGTAATTTATTATTTGGAAGAAGAAACGGATTCCAATAAGAACGATGATGTAAAACCTGCTTCATCCTGGCCACTATGCTCGATCCAGTAAATAAAAACATTGGATAAGGGAGTGTTTGCAACCTTCCCCAAGTGTGTCTTGAGAATTACCAAGGAGAGCATAAGACAATACATTCCAGAAAATAATGTGATGATACAGCTGAGTTGCTAATTGTAAATATTCCTAAGTATTTAGGTCATCTTACAAAATAAGAAATGACTTAAAATTATTCTCCGTTAAAGTATGTTACAATTCACAAAGGAGTACAAACTACCAGAGAGACATTTGTGAGGAAAGATGTATATAAAAATCAATGTGCTTGTTCGGAAAATAAGAAAATAGAAGATGTAATGAGGTCCCCAATTAAAATTTTACAGTTGACCCATGTTTTCAGTAATTTGGAAATATGACATTTGTACCTGAGGTAGACTGACTTGAAATAAATTTTCTCAGCAGTACTTTTGCCTGTTACTGCTCGTGTTCTGATGGCAATAATAGCTCCTCTGTTTT